ATTGGTGACCTTGGCTAGGCCATTGGTTTGGGGATAGCCTACCGAGGTGTACTGTTGCCTGATGCCGAGGGAGGCACACCACTCCTAGAACTTGGCGTCATCAAATTGCTTCCTGTTGTCGGTGACCAGCATATAGGGTAGGCCGAAGCGGTAGATGATGTTTTTCCAAAAGAAGTTTTGGATGGTTCACGTCGTGATGGCGGCCAAAGGCTCGGCTTCCACCCACTTGGTGAAGTAGTCTACTGCAACAATGAGGTACTTTTTGCCCCTCTTGGCCGGAGGAAAGGGGCCAAGGAGGTCCATGCCCCATTTGGCAAAGGGCCATGGGCTATTGAGGGCTGAGAGAGTTGTGGTCAGCCTATGGCATAAGTTGGTGTGCCTCTGGCATGGGTCACACCTTTGCACCAACCTAGCTACATCCTTGTGGAGGCCAAGCCAAAAGTAGCCCTGCCTTAGAGCTTTTTGGGCTAGGGCTCTCCTGCCGAGGTGGTTACCACATATGCCTTCGTTAATTTCTTGTAGCACATAATTGCCTTCCTCTAGACGGAGGCATCGGAGTTAAGGCAAGGTGAAGGATCTTCGGTACAGCTTTCCCTCTAGCAAGGTATAGTGGGCTGCCTGTCGTCTGAGTCGTTTTGCCTCATTTCTACCTTCGGGCAGTCGTCCAGTTGACAGGAAGTTGATGATGGGATCCATCCATGAAGGTTCAGCCTCTATGGGGAGCACTTGGACTTCTTCGATGAAGGGCCGAAGTAGCTTCTCGACGTGCACGGTAAGGCCAAGGGATCATTTCGAGGTACTTGCCAACTTGGAGAGAGCGTCAGCTCGTGCGTCCTCGGCTCATGGGACCCATTGCAGGGAGAAGTGTTGGAAGTGGCGAGTTAGATCTTGGACTTTGGCGAGGTACTTGGACATGCTTTATTCTTTAGTCTCGTAGTCGTCGTTCACCTGATTCACCACCAGCTGAGAGTCGCTGAAGACTTCGACATGTGAGGAGCCAAGGTCCCTAGCAAGCTGGAGACCAGTGAGGAGGGTCTCATACTTGGCTTCGTTGTTCAATGCTTGAAAGTCGAACCTTAGCGCATACTCCAGGACAATATTATCTTGGGTGAAGAGGACGAGGCCCGCTCCGCTTCCTTTGGCATTGGAGGAACCATCGACAAAGAGCTTCCATCGAGGTTGAGCCTCGTCGTCCACATGATCCCCCTCAACATTTTCTAGGGGCTGGCGATGGGCTCGACTGAAGGTGCACTCCACTATGAAATCTTCCAGGGCTTGTGCTTTGATCGTGGGCCTCGGTTGTTACTGGATGTCAAACTCCGACAGCTCGATGGCCCACTTCGTCAGGCATCCCGAGGTCTCAGGTTTGGCAAGGACAGCCTTGAGGGGCTGGTTCGTCAGGACCACTACAGTGTGGGCCTAGTAATACGACTGGAGTTTTCTTGCCGAAATCACGAGGGCGAAAGCCAACTTTTCTATCTCAGGGTACCTGGTCTCGGCGTCGCAGAGGACCTTGTTGGCATAGTACATCGGCTTCTGCATGCCATCTACCTTGATGAGGACTGAACTGACTACTTCATCCCCGACCGAGAGGTATAGGTACAGGTAAGGTACGCCTTGAGCTCATCAAAGGCGCGTTGGCACTTCTTCGTCCACTGGAACTCTTTTAGCTTCTTGATGGCATGGAAGAAGGGTAGGCAGCGGTTGATTGACTTTGACTTGAAGCGATTGAGGGCTGCTATTCGGTTGGTGAGTTTTTGGGTCTCCTTCACCATCCACGGGGGTGCCATATCTAGTATGGCTTGTAAAGAATGATATACTTAAAAATATTTTTAACTTTTTTAGAGAATGTAGATTAAAACCTAGATTTGAATTCTACCTTCATAGTTCTCATCCAAAATGTCAAGAATCTTGAATATGATTCTCATTTTAGACCCATAAGCCTATATGGTACTGTCTACAAGATAACAACCAAGATCTTAAGAGTGCTTTTAAGCCTAGGCACGACTATTAGTGACAATATCCTCTACAAAGTTATGCATTATATGAAGCACACTAAAGAGAAGAAAGGAATCAAGGCCATTAAATTTTCCGAGTAAAGCCTATAATAGGGTAGAGTGGATGGTTTTGAAAAAGCTATGGAAAAATAGATTAAATGGGTAATTTCTTTTGTGTCTTATCAAATTCTTGTTAATGGCTCTCCATCTAAGAAAATTTATAGCCTCAGACAAGGAGATCCCTTTTCCCTTTTTATCTTTCCTTATCTACTAAAATGTTTTCTCAGCTATCCTAAATGATTTGGTTGAAAGAAAAATTCCATCTGCCATTAAAATTAGTAAGCTCTCATCTATTTTTGCAAAAGCAACTATATATTCTCAAAGGCAAAACTTGGGGAACTAGTTTCCTACTAGATGCTTTCTTCACTTCTGAAAAAAGTTCAAGTCAGCAGGTGAACTCAAATCAGATTTTTTTCCAGTTCAAATATGCACCCAATGTTAAAAAAGGTAGAAAACCCCTCCATCCATTTGGGTACATATCCAATTATTGGAAGGAAAAAGTGTCAAATCTTTGATCACCTTAGTGATTGAGCGTCTAATAAAGCTAGAGGTTCAAGAGGCTCCTCTCAAGTTGGAAAATAGGTGCATCTAGAATTAGTTATCACTGCTATTCCTACCAACCGTATTCTATGTATTTTAATCCCAAGAGGAATATGTGATTACTCAACCAAGAGCCCCAAAAAAAAAAAAAAAAAGTTTTGGCGGGGAGACCTTGATGATCAAAAAACGTTAGATGGGTTCAATAGGCTCAAATCAGTAGAAATAGGTTTGATGGCGGTTTGGGTTTCATGGATCCTCAAGCATTAATTCTATCTCTTTTAGCTAAGTTGGCATGGAGATTGTGCAATGACTCGACAAGCTTGTGGGCCAAAACATTAAAAGTCAAGTATTTCCTTGAAGCAAAGGACAAGTCAAATCCATCTTAGGGTTAGAGGAGTGTGATGGCATGGAAAAGTGCTTGAGAAAGGAATCCTTTGGAGGGTCAACAAGGGGTTTAATCTCAAATTGTGGGAGGATCCTCGGATTCTAGGGATAGATGGCTTTAAACCCATGGGTCCTATAACAGTCGATACTGAGAATGGTTTGGTTCCTGACCTTATTACTCAACATGAAGGATGCTGGGATGTACAAATAGTATTCAATTTGTTTTCCCCTTACGAAACTCAAAAAAAAAAAAAAAAAAAAAGCCTTGAAATAGAACTAGCCGAAAATGGTTGTGGAAGGCGGTCTGGTTTGGGCTTCAAATGGAAAAGGAAGGTTGAGTATTAAATCAGCTTATTTCCTTGCTAAGTCTCTAATATATCTACCAAACTCTAAAGTTTCGAAATCCAGTTTGGATAACGAGAAGACAGTTGATCTAGTCTCTTCCTATTAAACCAAAACTCAAGCATTTTATTTAGAGGTGTTGTGTAAATGGCCTATTAGTTAAAAAGAATCTTTTCAATTGAGAAATTGTGCAATCTCCCTTCTGTTCTAGGGGTGAGCAGTAAGAAGCCATCCTTCATGCTCTCCTCTATTGTGAAAAGGCCAAAAGGCCAAATGCATTTTGGTTAGGTGCAGATATTGGTATTAGACCAACTGAAGAAGATGATCACAGGCCATTTGATGTGTGGTTCGATGAGCTGTTAGGGTCTCTTAGAAACACAAATGTGGATATTATTGCAAATTCAGTAATTTGTTTGTAGGAAGATAGGAACACTTCTTAGTTCTTATTTTGAAAACGATTACACTAATCCTCTTCTTGTGACTGCTTCTATTCACAAGTCTATAGTGGAGAGAGATCAAATCTTGTAGCTCGAATGAAGCGGTTTTTGGTTTCTGTTGAGGGATCGATTTGGGGTCTATTGGGGATTAGGTTATGGTACCTACGAAGCTGCCTCTCCTATAATTGCTGCTTAAGTCAAAGCCATTTTAGAAGCTTCAAAATTTGCGATTTCTTTAGACTTAAAAGATGATTGTATTGAATCAGATAATTTGCTGATTGTGCAGTGTTAATCCAATGATATCTTCTGCTTCTCAAGAAATCCTTTTCGTTTGCAAGGATCTCAGGTCCTCGTGTTAAGGTATCGAATCTATTTGTTAAAAAAAAAAATCAATTTGATACACATTTCTTATGTATACATAAGTTCTATAGTGGATTTGAATCAGATTTTGGATCAATCCATATTGATTGGCTGCTTCCATTATATTGTTGCTAGAAAATACTACTTTTGGCTTTGGATCTTCCATATCATTCTGGAAAGATATCTAAACCGATTTCTTTCTGATCATTGATAAAAACATTCATTCAAACATATTAGTGATGACCTCAAAGAGTTAATTGTACTGCCCATGAGGTAGTTAAAGCAGGTTTAAGGCTATCCTTTTATTCTTTAGAGAAGCTCTACCTTTATGGTGTTACGCTGCAAACAGGATTTCCTACCCACTCTCTACCCGCCATAAATTGCAGTCACACATCTCTATCTGCAATTCACGGCGGGTAGAAAGTGGATAGGAAAAGTGAGTAGGAGCTGTTGTTCAGAAAGATGTCTCTGGTGACAATATTCGCTTGGTGGTTGTAAGTGTTCTTAGTGTTTGTCTTTTCCTGATTATCTTTGTGCCTTTCCCTTTTATGTCTTTTTTTTTTTTCTTCCTTATTTGTTGTTTACCTTCAAAGCTATTTTTTATTGTTGGTTTGTTGTTATTGTTCTTTGCTTGTGCTTAATGAATTTCTGGTTTACTAAGAAGATATTTTGAATCTTGAAACCTCAAAAACCATAACATCCCCCTCTCCCAACTGGCGCTCTCTCTCTCTCCAGCTGGGGGTTGGGGTGGGAGGATAGGATATGGCTCTAGCCTCCCCTGAGCTGGTCCCTTAATGTGACCTACTAGAAGCTCCATCTATCGGCCAAATGTTGGGTTACATACAATTTTAAATAATAAAACTAATTAATAATTGAGAAGGGAAGAAAACCAATCTCGATTTCTTATTGACAAGAAAAAGCCCTCTATACTATATTATAAATTTATAATACAACACATTTGATTAAGAAAACTTCCCACAATATTTTCTATACGCCTACACCTTTGTGATATGATAAGAATACATAGGCAGCTTGAACATCAACCACAGCACTGTCACTTTAGTATCTTTGTCTTGCCACCCAAGTATCTTGATGCATTAAAACTCCAGGCAACCAATCAATTCAAACCCTTTTCAACCCTCTTCTTCACCATCTATTGTCCTGTGCTGCCTGGTTTTCCTGCTGTGGAGCCTCAGCATAAACTTGACCTTGGTCTCTCACATCTCTGAATATGGAAAGAAGGTAATTAAGGCCATCGGAAGAAGCACCACCTAGGATCCATAATAAAAGCGAACTGAATGAGTTCAAGGTACTGGGATTAGGGGCTGCTTCAGTTTGTTGTGGATCGGTTGGTTGTGGAAATTGAATAGGACCATGTATCCTGTCTGGATTGTCAGTCTCTAGTGGCTCTTGAAGTCCTGAAGCTTCTGGCGCACCATTTGCTGACCTAGCTTGATCAGATTCAGCACTCAAGTGACCTCCTGAAACAGGGTCACTGTTGACTGGCTGTTGGTTTCTTGTGTTTAATCTTGTGATGTGTAAGGTTGAAGCTAGGATCGTAGATGAGGTAATGTGGAAGTCTGGGTGCTGCTGAAGCTGAGACCGCCTAAATCTTTGTAGAGCTGGGACCTGAGATACATGAATCAAATCCAAGAAACTAATATAAATCAGATTCAAGAAAATAATGGAGTCTACATCTCTAACAGTTGAAGTGGCTGAATTAAATTACTTATTACTTTCCAGTGGATAAAATAATTATATAATAAAATATCTGAGTGTGTAGTAAACTAGTAATCAGCCCAACTTCAGTTCCAACCATGAAGGATCCATTCAGTTCGGCCACTTCTTCTGTTATAAAACAGCCTCTAAGATTTTGAGAATAACCAAATAATCATTACTATTTCAGCAAGTCATAAATGAAAAATTATGGCATTCATTGGTCATGCAACAAGATATCTCAAAATAGTTACCTCAAAGCGGTTCCAAAAGTATAGAATGAGGTGCTGCATAAATGCTGCAGTGGTGGAGAAAGCCAAATATGAAAAACCTATAAAACGTGATATGAATGGGATGAGGAATCTATTTTATAAATATAATAAATAATAATCTGCATCATGAGAAAAAAAAAGCATGATATAACCAATAGGACATACCATAAGCATATGAAAAGAAATAAATGTGGAAAACCAGAAAATAAAGCAAGAAGAACCGAGGGAAGAACTTCACTGATAATGGTGTCCGAACGCTGCAAACCAGTGAGAACCAAGACTATTTCAGAAAGGCATGTTATATGAGGAAAAATATAACCAAAAAAGGCAACCCAAAACCAAACAGTAAAAAAAAGAAAAAAAAAAAAACTGAGAGAGAGAGAGAGAGAACCTGATCAGTGTAAACAATTCACACAGCCATACAACAATCAAGACCATGAAAGCAAGCAGTTGGTCATCATAAAACTCAAACAGAAAAAATAGGATTCCAATCATAATCTGCAGAATTCATGCATAATACTATATAAGCAAATAAAATTGAAAAAACAATCTAGATCTATAAGGTATATTAGAGAAAAAATTAAAGTTTTTTTTTCCAAATGGTCTTCAACTCTTGTATTCTTTCATTTTAGTGGATCAAAAAAAGACCATAAATATACATACCGGTACAAAGACCAGTGATTCAATTACATGCACAAAGATCAACTGAAAAGTTGGTAGCTGATGCCGTGCATGGTGTTGAAGCTGCACTGCAATATTTAGAAAACAAGTCATATCACAAAACAAAGATTGCACCAATTTGATGGAACAAAAAGGCCTGCAGTGGAACAAGCTACAAAATGGGAAACACAACTGTGTAGCCCACCAATGCTTGTGCTGCCTCACCTTTTTGCTTGTAATTGCTGGAGGCCAATTTGTAACTCGAACTCCTAAACTGCCCAATAAATGAGGTACCTTCTGGACAAGTCATACCCCAATATTTGTACTTTCTCTACAATCCTAGCCATAGAATTAAATGTGAAAACCACAAGTAGGTACCTGATTTGAACATTTTATACTGCATTAAGCCTAGGACCTGGGACGAAGGCCCTCAGATAGAGCCCATTCAAATTTAAACAAATGCTCAGCCCAAGCCCATCTATGTTACACACCTAAATACAAATTTGGCAGTGTATGAAAAAGAAGTCAATATGTCTATGGTGTGATTGTAAAATCATACAATTTGGGGTTTTGGGTTATTCACGGATTGGCCTCTTAATAGACAGATGTTTAACTTAAGACATATCTGGTGGTGTTCACACCACACTATATCTCCTTAAAGCAATATGAAATAAAGTTCACCTGTGAACTTCAGCATGCGTGTCTGTGTCTCTCTAAGAGTAAATGAAACTGACATTGTTGTCGTGAAGAAAACAAAGAGAGACATCATAAGCACCCCACACTTCGTCACAAAGTAATCTGCAAGAAAAGAGAATGAAAGCATTTCAAATTAGATTCTCAGGCAAGCAGATGTTTCACCTAGTCAATGGAAAAGCACTGTTTTCATGAAGACCACTAGGTAATATTTATATACAAAATCAAGCTTAAAATCTTAATCAAAGGCCGGATTCACAAGGCATGCTATAAAACTGAGAAAAAGCGAATGCCCAATCAACTTTTTTATAGGAAATGGTAACTTTCATTAGCTTAATATGAGAAATACAACTCCTACAAAGACATAAGGTGACCCCTCATCATATAATCAGATTACAAAACAGCCAAGAAAAAAGACTCCCGATTAACACATTTCTTTGCTAAAGTGTCAGATAAAGCATTTGCCAACCTCCTAGTCCATTTAACATGTGCACCCAGCTCTGTTGTGAGGCTCAATAATTCCCTTAGGTTGTCTAAGGGGCCATGTTCCCAAACTATTTTTGGTATCCATCCTACAACTAATTTTGAGTCTCCCTCCACTTCTAACTGTTGAATGCTCAATTTTTTGTATCCATCACTTCTGCTGTAAGCAAGTCAACTAACCCTATTGGACCAGAAAAAATGGCCCCAATGTTCTTCCTCCCGCATCTCTAAAAACACCCCCAATTCCAGAGGGTCCAGGGTTGCCAATAGAACTACCATCGAAGTTTAGTTTTACATTACACTGCATAGGAGGAGAAGGCCCTGCTATTATACTCCAACCTCTAGTCGAGTCATCTATAGAGACATCCTTGAATAAGTCTAGAGTTTCCAACCAATGTATGGCCTTGATGATGATCCCTTCTATAAGTTCAGGAACTGTTTTTTTCTTTCCATTGGAAAATCATGTTATTTCTCTCTTCCCAAACTGTCCACAAGATAGCAGACCTCGTTGTTTAACACATCACCCTTCCCTTCTTTGGTTGTCAGAAGAAGCTAGTGTCAAAAAGATCCGCTACACTTGAGGGAGGATTCCACCTGCAATCAAAGAGAGAGAACCAATCCCAAATAAGATCAACAAAAGGATAAGATATAAATAGGTGATTCACCGTCTCACCACTCCTCAAGCAAAGGCTACAAACATGTGGAGGCAATCACTAATTTGGTCTTTCTCTTTAGTAGAAAAGTGTAGAAGATCTGTTTTGATATAAAATCTGTAGGAAAGAGAAAAGAAGGTTTATGCAGAGAAGAAAAGAGGAGAGAAATTGAAGAGAATGGGAGGAGCCAAAATTAGGTGTGGTCGCCCCTTAACTAATATATTCACAAATAAAAAACTGAATACAAAGACAAGTATGCCCTTAGTAAGTTAGCTACTTGTAAAAACTAAGTAAACATTCTTAACTTAAACATACACCAATGGGCCCTGGGCCCAATAACTCTCTAACTATGCTATGTAAATAAAAAACAAATGATATCAGCCCAAAACTCAACACTCCTCAACTTGGGAATAGATGTCACACATTCCCAACTTGCATAGATCATGCTCCAGTTTGTTTCTTAAAGCACCTTTTGTAAGAGCATCAGCAAGCTACAAGTCAAATGCAACATATGGTAAGCACACTTCTCCGAATGTCACCCTTCCCCTTATAAAGTGCCTATCCACTTCTACATGCTTCGTCCTATCATTCTGAACTGGGTTGTGGGCAATGTTAATTGCAGCTTGATTGTCACGGTATACCATCCTAAGTTCTTCGGCCTCAACTCCAATCTCCCCCAACAAGAATTGGACCCAAAGGAGCTCTAAAACACCATGTGCCATAGCTCTGTATTCAGCTTCTGCACTTGACATTGCTACAACTGATTGTTTCTTCCTCTTCATGAAACTAAATTACCTCCAACAAGAGTGTAAACTCCTGATGTAGATCTCCTGTCACCTAGACACCTTGCTCAATTAGCATCTATGTAAGCCTCTAATTTCAAATGTCCATGGTCAGCAAACAGTATGCCTCTACCTGGGTGTCCCTTCAAATAGGAAAGTATTCTGTTAATGACCTCCCAATGCTAAACTCGTGGGGCATGCATGTATTGACTCACCACACTCACTACAAAAGAGACGCCTAGTCGTGTCATACATAAGTATAGCAACCGGCCCACTAATCGCCGATACCTTTCAACATCCTTCACTAGCTCACCTTTTGAAGCATTTATCCTATGGTTCTGATCAATAGGTGTATCAGCTGCCCTTGCCCCAAGTTTTCTTGTCTCCTGTAGTAAGTCCAAAACATACTTCCTCTGTGAGATGAAGATCCCATGCTTGGACCTTTCCACCTCAATGCCCAAAAAGTACTTCATCTCTCCAAGATCCCTAATCTCAAACTCTTTGTGCAAGTTCTTCTTCAAGGTATCAATCTCACTCTGATCATTTCATGTGACTACAATGTCATCCGCACACACTATCAAAACTAACACCAGTGATCCCAACCTTTTCAAAAAATGAGTATGACCAGATTGAGTTTGAATATAACCAAACTTTGGGTGATTGCTTCCAACCATATAGAGACTTCTTCAATCTACATACATTTCCTTTATCCACATCACTGTAAAAACCATCTAGAAGATCCATGTACACCTCCTCTTACAAGTCTCCATTAAGAAAAGCATTCTTCACATCAAGTTAGAAAAGTGGCAAAGAGTATGTAGATGCTAGTGATAGAAGAATTTGGACTAAGCTCATCTTTGCCACTGGTGCAAAAGTCTCCAAGTAATCTATGCCATAAGTCTGAGTGTACCCTTTTGCAACCAGCCTCACCTTTTATCTTTCTATACTTCCGCCAGCCTTGTACTTCACTATATAAACCCATCTATATCCAACTGTCTCCTTGCCATCAAGTAAATCCACAATCTCCCATGTCTGATTTTTAATCAATGTTTTCATTTCCTCCTACATAGCTTTTTTCCACTCAAGTTTGGAGAGAGACTCACCAATACTCCTGGGTATAAACACAGAATCAAGGGAAGAAATGAAAGCCTAGTAAGAAGGAGATAATCCACTGTAGGAAAGATAATGTGAGATGCAATGAGCAGTACCTAGAATAGTGATATTTAGGTCATTTGCAATGGTGTTAGGAGCATGGGTAGTGGTATCAATAGGAACTAAACCATCAGTGGAAACAAGGGGCATACCTAGATCTATTTTAGTCAAACCTGGAATCTCCGATGAGCTGATAGGGAGTGACATGGATTCTTTTGCTATGGAATCAACCTCCCTGTAATGTCATAGGCACTATCGTGTAAAACATTGAGATGCAAGATGAAATGGAGGTGGAAAAGTAGGTGGAGTAGGTGGGTCGGACACTGGAGTGGATAAAGGAACTGGAATAAGAAGTGGTATAGATTGTTCACTTCCCCAAAACACACTCCCTAAGAAGAATCCCCCAAGAAAAAAGGTGTTGACTAAAAAAGGTGACACCCATAGTAACATACCAACTCCCGAAGACTAGATCATAACAATAATACCCCTTTTGATTTCCTGCATACCCAAAGAAGACACACTTCTTTGCCTTATGGTCTAACTTTAAGCAATGAGGACCAAGAAAATGGACAAAGTATATACATCCAAAAGGCTAAACGGAGTGTTATATCCAAGAACACGAGAAGGCACCCGATTAATAAAAAAGCTATTGTAAGAACTGCATCACCCCAAAAACGAACTAGAACTATAGAGATTAACATCATGCTTCTTGCTACTTCCACAATATGTCTATTCTTCCTTTTTGCTACACCTTTCTATTGTGGAGTGTATGTACAACTGCTTTGATGGACTACTCCATGCTCTAATAGGTATGATGCCAGTTTTTTTCAAAGTATTCTCTGGCATTATCCGATCTAAACACTTTTACTCATACCTTAAACTGCATCAACACCATCTAATGGAATTGTTGAACCAAAGACGGTACCTCATCACAGGATCTCAACAAACATATCCAAGAGTATCAAGAATAATCATCCACAAATAGAAGAAAATACCAATAACCACCCATAGAGGAAATATGGTATGGCCCCCACACATCAGTATGAACAATATCAAAAACAAAAAACATTTTTTATTGCTTGCTTTAAAGGAATGTCTACAATTTTGGGCAAACTAACAGACTCAAACAATTTTGGAACCAAAAATCACAAAGAAGCAAAAGACGAATGCTCTAACTGATTATGCCAAAACATAATCTGACCCACTAACTTTGACTTAATGTTCCTACTAACATGATGACTATGATGACTAGGAAGCGCATCAAGAAGATATGTTCCATTCACCTACGACTACTAGCAAGCACATTAAGAAAATAGATTCCATTCATCTCACGACCACTCTAAATCGTCCTCTTTGATTACAGATCCTGCAAAACACAATGACCAGGAGAAAAAATCACTAAACAATTTAAATTCTGTCAAGCTACTAATAGATAAAAGATTAGTGCTCAGTCTAGGAACATGAAGAACAAAAGGTAAGGTAATGGTATCAGTTATCTTGATAGACCCTTTCCATCAGCAATGAGACCATGTGATCCATCAACAGAGGTGATATAAGGAGAAGATGGTGGAAATATTGGTCATATGTTTTGAGGCTCCTAAGTCTATAATCTAGGGAGGCCCCCGTACCTATAGCGGATGCATAATTTGCAGTGGCATGTGAATTACCTGTATGTGCAAACAAAGTAGAATGGCTACCTCCTGATCCACCTACACCTTGTTGTCCACCTGATAATGAGATGGAACTGGTTGTATCCCTATGATTCAGAAACTATCTATATCTCTCCAATTTGGTCTTGATAAATCCCCAGCCACTGCCATATTCACATTTCCCTTCTTGTTTATGAGTCGGATTGGTATTAGGTGTGGGTAAAGTTTCTAACAGGTATCTCTAGTATGTTTAGGTTTCTTATAGTAGTCACATATCAAATCCTTCTTGTCCTCCTTCCTTGGTTCATTTCCACCCTTATCCCCACTCGACTTAGGCTTCACTGTGCTAACCATAGCTGACTGCTCAAGGCCTAGCTTTCTCATCATCACATTCCTCATATGCTTGAGAGAGTTACATTGTCTAGGGAAAGAATATGTTGTGCAATGTCATAATCAGGGTTAAGTCCTGCTAGAAACTCAAAACCCTATTCTTCTCTACCAGTTTCTGATAAATTGTTGCATCTTTGCTACTTTCTCTAACCACATTTTCCAAATGATCTATCTCCTCCCATAAGGTTTGGAGGGTTAAAAAATAAATGGCAATAGACTTATCTCCCTGCCTAGTAGCAATCACCTTGTTTCCCAATTGGTAGGCTCTAGCAACATACTCATTCAGTGAATAAGTTTTTGCTACTCCATCTCAAATCTCCTTTGTTCTGTAGGCTCATAGAAAGCTCTTACTTATATGGGGTAACATGCAATTGCACAACCAAGTCTTCACCATGTAGTTCTCCTGTAAGCAGTTCATCTTCCGATTCCCCTATAGACACAAAAAAAGTAGCCTAAAGGTCCTCTTTTGGGAGGACACTTGGATTGGAGACTCTCCTCTTAAGGATAGATACCCAATCATAACATAGAAATCTATCTTAACATAGAAAAAAGCAAGAGCAGAAATGAACTAAAAATCTATCAAACAGACAAAAGATGAATTATAATTGGTGTATTGAAGCCACAAGATCTGAAGCGAAAGGCATCAATTTAATAAAGGCATGGCCCCTCTTGTCATACTGGCAGAGATTCAGTTACTTCTACCTTTCATAACATTCACCCATCTGGGTATATATAGGAGAAGCCATGGTTCGTAAATTAGTGAGGTTTATTGAAATTTCTCCAAAATTTCCCCATTTTTGATAGGGGTGATACGAATCTATTCAAGAATCTTTTTTTCCTACCATCTCCAATATATTGTCGAACTGTCAGTGACATTTCAGATTTTATTAATAGACTATACATTTAAGGTTAAACATTTTAGAATATTGTTAAAAACTTTATGGCATTTCATTAAATGTCATAGTTTTTGAAAAATATTTTCCTAAAAGAACAAATGGGGATTTGGCGATTGAATGATTGCTTTACTATTTTGATACGATTCACTTAGTATAAATCAAAAGAAAAAGAAGGAACATAACTACAAAAGTGGATTTTCAATCTAATAAAAACATATAGTCCAAAAAAGACAAAAGTCAAACTGGAAAGTAAATGGCATGCATGAGAAAGAGAAGATAGTCAAAAGACTAAAAGGGTGAAAGAGAGAGAAATACCTACTGAAGTTTCTTAATCTTCTCTATTTGTTTCATACAGTTGTTTCATAACTACAAAAGCCTCTTAATCTTTATTAACAAATTCCATGTTTTTAGAAAATTTCCTTGACTTCTTATATTTTTCAAAAATCAACAATATATCCCCGAAATTTCCCCATCTCTACATGCTAAGATGTCTACAAATATAGAAATTGTGAACCATGGCAGGTGAGTAGAAGTATGAGAATTCATGGAACATTCCTACATATAAATCATTGACAATTGCATATAAAATATTGTGTAATAGCATACTCCATGGTTCTACAGCTATCACAAATAGTTTTTATGTGCTGGCCATAGTCATTGACAGATTCATGGCCATAGTCTAAAGTTCTAGAATTCAGAACCAAACCAGACAGCCGAGAACTAGAACCATAGTCAGTTTGAACCCAACTGGAAGATTCCATAAAAAGACTTCAACCTGGTAAAATATTCAGTGCAACAAATTTGCCTTACCAACCAATATGGGAGGTTGGGAACCTAAGGGTGGTATTTAGGTTAATATGTGACAGGTGTTTGAATATTGTAGAGCTACTAACAACCCTAAAACACACCCAAGCAGAGCATGCTCGGTCATATACCCAAAGGGGGCAGGAGAAATTGGAAGAGAGCTTTAAAGATTTTTTTCATTATGAAAAGAACATGAAAATGTAACCAAATAAAAGACTTTGAAGCAATATCAGTAAGAAATGGCCTTAAAAACTGAATTTTGGCACCGTAGATGTCAATTTCATCCTTTTTCAGTTTGATAAAGCACTCCAACAATGAACATAATATCCTTTTTCAGTTTGACACATCCACTGTTCTATTAGATCTGAGATCCCCTTGCAATGGGACAGATTCAACCATATTGTTTGACCACTGACCATCTCAAACAATGTGACCAAGTACCAAAAGACAAAGTAATCAAACATATAATCAACAGATAAACATAAATGAAAACAGAAAGAAAGGAAAAATAAATGTAGAGGGTATATTTTCATTTCTTTACAGATAAAAATAAACAAACCTCGCCTCAAGTTCAGCAGTAACTTATTCATCCCCTGTAGTTTGGGGTTAAGTAACTTATCCCACCCTATGCTAACAAGCTGTCAATTTTAGTGACAGAAGGTGCTTAGGTGACATTTAAAACTTTTTAAAAGTCTATTTTACCTTCTTGCATCTTCTTTAAGGAATATACATCTTCCACCATAACATTAAGGTTTGAATGAAAGGTTGAAAACAGGTTCTATAAAATTTTGATATCACAAAACAATATTTAGTGTTTATAAATGAAGACGATTTTGTTAATTTTAAAACATATATTTTGGAAGAAAAGTTAATACTTCTATTATTATGGGAACTTTGATAAAATGTCTTAATTTTGTCTCTTCCATTAACCAACCCTGTAGTTTTGTAGCCAAAGGGGGTTTAAGTTATTAGGTAAACCTGAAGTATTTGACTGAAACCTCAGGGAAGATATAAGTAATTTACCCTTTTATTAATCAAAAACTTCATTGAGCATAACTCCCGAGCATACATTCTCTTGGCTGTTCAACTCAAGATCTAGGTTTCAATGGCATATAATTGTATTTCAAAAAGCTCCCAAGGAATGCCTCTTCGCTTAATGCAATTCTCAAGAGCTAAATCTTTGAAGATACTAATTCAAACCATGTTACATTGATGTCATCTTGTAGATTGACAGCAGTATTAAACCAACCTCAGTTAAATGAATAGAAGCACAGGAATTTTCTCAGAATATCAAACAAACTACAGCATGTGCCAAGAAAGCAAGAGAAAAGCTTGAGTTAGCAAACCTCCAAATCTTGTATAACCTTCCGCTGGCTCATGTGCATAACTAAGATCATAGAACTCCTTAGTTTGGTAATTGTACAGATAACCTGCATTAAATTACAAATCATGCTTAGAAACACTAATATGAGAAAGAACATTAACTAAAGTCAACCAAATTAATTATGTTAAAATATAAGACAAAGTCTTGGATTTAGGACAGATGACCAATACAATGGTGTGGGGATCCTGTAACTTGTCACATCTTCCACAAGTCAAGGATCAAGACCTGCCATTACATGAGCCTTACCTATGAGAATAACGAGGCCAAAAATCAGCATAGGATACAATCCCCAACAATATGTTTTTGCTTCCAATATTTGGATGGTGGGAGAAAAAGTATACTAAATATGCAACCAAATTCTCACAGATTAGAAAACTAATAAGAGCCACTCACAATAAACTCAACTATAACTTACTAAAGCCAAACCAAAAGTGATGGAACTTGAACCAAAAGCACAGGACCATTTGATGACTTGACATGATGACATGTGAGGTCAACATGGTTAAACTTTGACTTTGGCATTGGCACTCCAAAGATTTTTGAGAAGTCAAAACACTCCTTGATGAAATCTGATCAAACTGAGATTTTGAGGATTCCTTCAGCACAGGACAATTTTCTCTTCCCATATTCTCTTCTCCTATCCCCTATGGTTGAGAGCATGGCATGAGAGCAGGTTCAGCCATAGATATGATTGATTTTATTATCTTGGGTTCCTTTGTTTTTTGGAGATGGTGATTGCAAGAAGATCTATACTCTTTCTTGGACTGATCAAACAAAACAGAACACTTTTTCTTTATTTTTTTTCCTTGATCATATAACCAATGGGTGTTCTTTTGGGAGTCTGAACACTGTGAAGGAGGTATAAGGAATTCTTAGAGGTTTTATGGAATGTTTTCTCAGACCATGTAATGCTCTCTCCAATTCTCAAGAGCTAGAACGAATAGGGATATCCCCAAGGAGTAAAAGTTCAGATTATGAACAGTCTGAATTTAGCACTCCATTCTTTGTCTGCAGAAATCAGTTCTAGGTCTGAAAAGTCATTTTAACATTGTTTCTATGGTTTGGTTGAACTAAAATAACCTGCCTCAGGGTCTGTATGGACCAGAAACAGCCAGCAGGAGGCAGGAATTGATGTTTATTGTGGTAGACTGATGTTTGGGCATCTAACCAGTGAATAGACAGCACTGTATTGGTTGTCATGTGACAACCCTTGAAGCCTAAAGTGTCTGTAGGTTGACACAGCTTCCATCTTCAACTCATAAACTGATCCTTGCAGTGGTTTGGGGTGTGTTAGGTGATTGAGGATGGATGATTCAGCAACATTAGAAGTTCCTATAATGCAGCCTATGGCCAACAGTAAGCGGTAAAAATGTGAACTTCCCTATTTCAATAACTCCTCTTGATGTGCTGAACCTTGGAGGCTATGCAATTGTTAGTAGGAGGAAGATAAAAGTCAGGATACTTCACTGGTAGGACTATTGAACCTTAATATAGTAGACCTGCACATGAGAAATGGGAAGAAATTACATGATAATATCTTGGCTGTAATCATTCATGCGGCCAACAAAAAGACAACTTCATGTGGGTAGAAAATGCCAAAGAGATTAGGGATTAAGCTAGGGCTAATAGGGCCGTTCAAATTGGTTTTAATTTAGATTGGGTCCAAATGTCCAATCCAAACCTTGTCCATCGACACCAGTCTCTTATATTACGTCAATGGACCAGATATTGGTTCAATCCAACCCAGTCCAATATAAATCCATTACAAATGGACCAGGTCCTATCCAATCCAACGAATACTTTGGACCGTTAAATCTGGACTGGTCCAATTCAATGTCTTATTGGTTCGTCCAATCCATTCAAATTGATTTTGATTTGGATGGAGTCCAACCCAAACCCAGTCCATTGACATGACTCCCGGTTATATATGTAAAATAAAGGCATAATTCATGTATTAACCAATTATAAGTAGAGTCCTCAGACATGCAAACAAGGTGATAAGAGTTTCTCCATATATTTTTCCACTATCACATCTATGTGGAAGGAGTTGGACCACTATCAATCAATAATTGGGAGAGAAAGAAGGATGCAATGGCCTACAAGAACATAGTTTCACAATAGAGAGCTTTGCTTGCTGGCTTCAACCCAATTTATAAACCAACTAAGGTTCAAAATTCAAATATTGAGTAGCAAGGAGTTGCCAAATATCTAGGAAGTGTATGCCTTACTTCAGTTAGAGGAGAGTAGGAAGAATGCAATACTCCTAAGGTGGAGTAAATTGTACTTATTATGAGAGGTGGAAGCCAGAAGGTGGATAGTAATAAGTTCATGAAGAAGCAGGAGAAAAGTTTAATTCAGATAATGTGGCAACCAACTCTTTTATATAGGATACTCAGCCTGCCTCCTAAGTATTACAACTTCCCAAGGCCACTCCATGAGTTCTATACCAAGAGAGGATCTGCAAAGTACCATGCTTGATTAGTTAGAGCAATAGGGTACTATGAAAGTTGGAGAGAACCTCTCTTGTTCCTTCCACCTCCTCTGTTGTATGTTCAAGTAACCAGGCCACTGCTTTACATGTCTCCACTATTCTGTCTAAGTCTTCATAGATTGTCAACTCAAGAGCATCTAATCACATGACTTACAAGCCTACCATTTTTTTCATTTTATCACTTGTGAAGGTGAAAATGGCAAATATATCCTTCTCAACCATTGTTGGTCAAGAAGCCATTTCTCTAACTCTTGCTCTCAATCTAATGCCTATTCTTTTAAAAGTTCATTACCTAATGTTAGTCCCAGTCCCAATTATTTGGACACAGTCCTAACTTATTAGCATATTTTTGGCACAAACTAGCCACTCTCAAACTTGAACCCACATTTTCAATCTTCATGCTTGCCAGCTCGAGATTTTATCATTACACCAAGTAATGGCCCCTAACACCTACTCTTTATGTTCCAAAGTTGCCTATCAATTTTCTCTCCATTAATATTACAAAACTATTGAAGTGTTGTGTGAACCCTTTTTCTTGACCGCTATGTTTTCAAGGACTTGACCTCGAGGAGGAAGATTGTTAGAAGTTTAATTGGGGCGTTTCATTTAGCTACAGGGGATGTCTTGTCTTCTACCTCTTTTTCTCCCTATTTTCATTTTCCTTTTGGCCTTTCTTTAAACTGCACCTACATTTTCAGACATTCAATAATTGCTATCAACAAAAAAGATTGCCTAAGATCAAGTAAGTAGGAATCTGCTGAATTAAAAAATATATATATATGAAAGAAAGTAGTTTCTTGAAGAGAGAAGGAAGAGAGAAGGAGAAGAAGAGAAGAAGAGAAGTTGAAAAGAAAAGAGAGCAATAATCTAGCCGCCCCCTTCACTTATTATTTATACTAAAATAATAGAACAGTACAAAGACAACTATGCCCTTATAAGGCGGCAAAACATAAAACAGCATATATAACACTCAAAAAATATAATAAAATTTGGACTCACATAACTACTATGGTCCCCACCTCCTATCTAACAACTAACATAAAACATCTACTCAGAAAAACATCATAAAACTAATTAATCTTCAACAAAGTACAAGTGCAACAAAACCCTTGATGGAATTGATGAGGTGTTAATTGGCTTAAGGTCTTTCTATACACTGCCTATGCATCTTTCGATCTTTAATATAAATGTACATATATTGTTATTAATCAAATGAAGTGATATTAAGAACATGTCCTATGAAGGCCATTGGTGGTACTAGTTAGGTGCGACTCACATGGACTTAAGGCTCTAGTAGGCTGCGGAGAAGAATGAAATACATTGGATGTGCTGATGTGGATGGTTGCGAATTTACAAATGACTTGGAGGAATATGTGTTAGACAGTGTATGCCCTTAGCTCCAATCAGTCTGATGTACACAAACACTTATCTATAAATGAATAAAGTGCATTGTTGTTTCATATTCATATTGGTGTGTTTCTGTGTATTACTCCATAAACTGGACACTTATGAGACTCGTGTTAGCTTAGGAAGTTCTCAGCCACTGAATAGACTTGGGAAGTTTATCCTGACAAGGCTAACACTAGTGTGCTGCCAAATAGTTGGAACAGGTTGTCTCAGCTACTAGGGTTAGACACAAAGCACATGTAGTGGGTGTTTGGAAGAAACACTGAACCCAAACCAATTTCCAGTTATGCCTTGGACCTTAGAGATAGATGGGCAAAACTAAAAAGTTACACATAACCCCAAACTTGATTATGATACTGCATTAAGTAGTGGACTGGGCTGTCTTTGATATGCCAACCAGCGAGATCCATCAATGGTCAAGTATCCGTGCATGTTGGGGCAATTTGGGAAATTACTTGAGTGGATGGTCATAGTGATAGGATGATCGACCCCTTTGTCAGACAAAGTGAATACCAGGGTTTACACTCTCTCTAATTGAAACCTAAACTGCCGGTAGTGGATTTCACATGTGTTTGAAATCTGGTTTTGCAAAATATATTTATATATTATATTATTATTTTATGAAAAAGGTTTGCAAAAGGCTTTAATCCCAAGATTCATCTGAGCAAAAAGTGCGGCACTATACCTTGCAGCTAGGGGAGAGGTCATTCCCTGTCGGATAGTGTTATGATGATTATGGACCAAGAGGTTAAATGTAAGAGACCATTACAAGGTTGATTACCTGATGGGCCTTATCTCACATAAGTCCATTATCCTTGGGTCTTCATAGGGTGGCTGAATCCAATGATCATTTAGATGTAAATGTTGGGCTCAAACTGAGTCCATGCTAATTGGCTCAGGAATTCACTGCCCTAAGCAATGAATTTGGCCCAATCTCTTTCAGAGGTGGGGCCAAACCCTCATGGACTTGTGTGAGACCTTTGTGGGGTCCCACACCATACAATATCAGGCCCAAAGTGGCCATGCAACACTGAGGGACGTGAGCCTTTAAGAGAAATGAGCCTAAGGCTCATTACTAATATGATTAGTTAAGCTATAACATGACAACTTAAGTTGTCATATGTGATTTTGGTCAAAAACTGGGTTTGGATTTGGGTATGGAGCATCTATCCTCTCAAGAGGATAATGTTTATCAAAAGAAAGGTTCTAATCCAAAGCAGATTTGGATCACCTCCAATTTGATTAGGAGTCTTGCTCCATAAAAAGATAAAGAGAGAAGAGTACAAACCAATCTTGAACTCTACATTCTTCCTCTCTCTTCTTCTCTCTTGTCTCTCGAGAAACCCTAATCAGGCTCACACATCCCATTCGATCCAAGCAAGTTGGATAGCAGATTTGCTGAAATCAGAGTTGTTGAGTCGGTTTCTCCCGTACACTGCACCATCTTCAGTTGGAAACAGATTTTGGAACTGATTGGGTGTGAACTTCCACTTTGGGAGCTCCGATTTGTGGTCTCCATATCAGGTATAATCTCCTTTTAATTTGGTTTCAAATCTCGTCCCTTTCAATGCAAGATCAATCCGGAAAATTCAATTTTCAAATTCACCGGAAAATCAGTTCCCGAAAGGGTTAAAAAAATTCTAAAATTTCTCCCAGCCATCTAACATGGTTCGGCCATCCATATGATGGATTCTAAAACCCTTCCAACAATATGCACTATGGAGGAGATGACCCAAATAGAGTAGCATTGAAAGACAGACAATGATACTTTGCACCATCATCTAAGCCTTGTCCTAACCATATGGGGTCAGCTACATGAATCCTGTTTTTCTATTCCCTTTTGTTCAGTGTCATATCCTCCATTAAATTATGAGCATGTAAACCATTTCTTATTACTTCCAAGCAATTCTTTTTTGTTCTGCCCCTAGCTCTTCTAGGCTTCTAGCACCTTTCAACCTGTAGCATATCACTTTTTCTAACAGGTGTTGTAGATAATCTTCTATGCGTGCAACCAAACCATCTCAATCTACTTTCTCTCATTTTATCACTTATTGGAGCTACCCCTAGGTTCCTTTGTATGAATTCATTTCTAACATTGCCCTTTCTAGTTTTACCACTAATCCATCTAAGCATTTGCGCTTCTGCCACACTCATCTTTGGACATACTGTTTCTTAACTGCTCAACATTCTGCTCCATACAATAAATTTAATGGAAGCAATAGATGCTTGTAGAAATACAATTACAATATTAATTATTTTTGCTCATGCACAATTTCTCTTACCACATATATGGTTTGGTATGTATAATTAGTTTACCTTGACCAGGAGAATTCAATAAGCTATTCATCAAGATTGTGTCATATCCAACAAATCTGTTTATCAAAAGTTGTTGCCACCTGGAAAAGAAAAAAAAAGGCTTTGCTTGAGATATATCAATCTAAAATTTATATGAATACATACATGCAAAAGAGAATTTCCACCAGAGACCTTGTTGCCTCATACTGGAATTCAAATGCATATGGCCATCAATCAGAGAAAAGCAAAAGCAAGACCACCCTCTGAATTGGGATAAGACAGCAACTTTGCATTGTTCCAACAGCTCAATCATTCTTTTAGTGCAAAGCAGCCATTTAAGATAAAAGCTGAAGTTGGGTTGGCCTTGGATTTTCATGTTCTGATCTGGATTTGGGCCCAAAATTTTAGGCTTGACCTTGTTAGAAGTGTAATAAGTACATTGGGAGTATTGTCTTCTAAAAGCAAGTGTTCGGGTCAGATATTAATACCTTTGAAAGGTATCTTTATTACTGTAGTAACTTATATAATGTGAATAGATCTGGGTTGACTCTTTTCTTCCCTTTGTTTCTCTTTTTCTTCTCCTTCTCCCTACTCTCTCATTCTTCTTTTATTACCCTAGGTAATAAATGTAAGGTTTCTTTAGAGGAGTTAAACCCTTCCTCTATTTTCTTGTTATCATTTGCAACAACCATGATAGTTGCTTTCTGTGGAATTCGCGATTGATGGTGAAAGTGTTCTCTTCTTTCCACTGAACGTTAGTTGATGTGTGATATTGTGAAGGTCATCTACATTCAGGTTCAGGTATTGGATTGAGGTAATTGATGTGGTGGTATTTTGGAGGTCACTGCATTGCAGTGTTGGTTCGGGGTGAACAGTGAAGGCTATCTGCATTTGAGTGTTAGTTTAGGCTCATTGGTGTGCTAACTTGAGCATCACAGACTCTTCTAAAGGTGGGTGCTGTTCTCCTGGGTGGTGCAGGTTGTAGTGACTCATTGTGGTAACTTCTGAAATGCACATAAGATGTTTGATAATTTGTTTGGATGAAGTATGGTTGATTCTAAGGCGAACTTCAAAACTAGATTGAAGGTGAACCCAAACTTCTTTGTTGTTCAAATGACGATCACTAAATATAATAGATAGAATTTGTTTCTTGGGATAAATTTGTTTGTTCTTATGGAAAAAAAAAAGGAAATAGTTATCAGATGATAAATAGTTGTCAAGGCATCACCTAGGCGACAACTAGCCAACTAGGCACCCCTGGTTGGGTGCCTCACCTAGACGCCTTGACTTATGGCAACAAGGCACCTGCCTAGCCAACAAAACTGACAAGGCAGGCACCTTATTATAAATACCATTCATTTTGCTATATGTTACTAATATGTGTGCTAATAGTTTAATACATTTTATTATATACTATATATGTCATTTGTATGTTTTAAAGCAAAGTTTTTAAAACCGAACCAGACAACGAACCGGTCAGGGGTCCGGTTCCCAGGTCGAACGGTCCAACCGTTCGAAATGAATGGATGGCCCATTCTGACAAAAAAATAAAAAACGGTCAAAACCATTGAACGATTCAAACGGTTCAACCACCTGGGTCAGCACTTTGCTGACCAAATCAACGTTTTTTGGCAAAGTTCCGGTTTTGCGGAAAATGGAACTGGTCACCTGATCGGTTCCCAGTTTTTCCGATCTGACCGTCCAGTCCAGTCCGGTTTTGAAAACCATGATTTAAAGTTCTACTATTCAAATTTAAAAGATTCAAGGGTTTTAAGAAGAGAAGGAAATAAAGAATATTAGTATAAAGAGGTTTCCTTTTTTTTTGTTCTCCCTCTCTCACACACACATTAAATGGAACAGCAACTCTACTTGTGTTCTTTTTCTCTTTCTATCTTAAATTTTATCATATAAAATTATAGTTGAACTTCTTTAGCTACTTATTTGATATGAAATTGCTCTATGAAAAGCTCCTCCAAACACATTAGTCTAATAATACTACCACTCTTTCCCCTTCATGTTTTGCTTACCTTGTCACCAACTCATCACTGTCACCTTCTTGGTCAAAGATTCTAGAGCTTCAAATCACATGACAAGGACTCCATGTATGTATACCAAATCATTCTTCAACTTCAAAAAGTGTGACCTTGGCTGATGGTACTACTTCTGAAGTTTCTAAAGTTGGTATTGTAAGCCCGCACTCTTCATTATCACTATCAACTACTTTGTATGTTACCAAATTCCCATTTAATCATGCCTATAAGTAAACTCGCAAAAAAATTCTTAAATGCTTAGTTACTTTCTATACTTATTAGGATCTCAACACAAGGAAGATGGTTGGTGGAGACCATAAGTATTTGGTATACATTACCTAGATGGCATTGAAGCAAAATCATTCTTCAAACTACTCTTACTCTTCATTGGTGGCACTGGCAGTTGGATCATCTTTCTTTGTAGATTTTGAAGTTTTTTTTTTTTTTGATGAATTAGACTTTGAAATTGTTAACTCTATATTGAGTTGTTATGATCCCGGTTCACAATTTCAAAAAGCCATAGCAAACAATTGTATAAATCAAATGAAGGAAGCTTAAGAGACTTAAATAGGTATATTTCTCTCGTCTTCCCTTTCGTCTTTTAGCCATCTTCTCTTCATCATGTATGTCATTTACTTGCCATTGACTTTTTTTTTCTTTTGCGTTACTATACATTTAAATTGACAATTCTCTTTAGTATCCATATGCTTTTTATTATTCTTTTTATCTTTTGAATTATAGTGACTTAGTAAGTGAATCATATCACAATAAACCTCTTGTGCAATCATCAAATCCCCATTTGCATTTTAGGAAAAGATTTATAAAAAATTATGATGCTTTTAATGAAATATAATAGATTTTCTAATAATATATATAAAAATTTAAACCTCAAATGTATAAATTATTAATTAAATTTGAAATATTGCCAATATATCGGCAAAATATTGGATATATTAGGAAAAAAAGGGGTACTTGGAAATTTTTATATTGGTCCTAGCAAAATGGGGAGATTTTTGAGATATGTCGCCAAATCTCACTGATATTGCCAACCATGGTTATGATCATAGATTGTGAATCTTGTCAACATAGTAAACAATATAGAGTTCTTTTGTTCAAGAGTACAAAATCATATGTCTAGTCCTTTTATTCTAGTTCATTCCAATGTTTGAGGTCCTTTTCAAGTGAAGTCTTACAATGGACTCAGCTATTTTATAACCTTAGTTGATAATTTTTCAAGATTAACATGGCTTTATTTTATGAAAGACATACAAATTGTTCTCTGGTTTTACATCTTCCATGCTGAAATTATATGTTTGGAGTGAGGTAGGAAGGAAGATGAGGTGGTCCCCACTTTATATGATAGAGAATTGAAGGGTGTTCAAATTTTGCACCAATTTTTAAGATGCAAAATTTACACTACCAGTGAGTACAAATGAAATAAAAACTACAAATTTTGTATCATATGGGAGTGTTAATCATAATTACAAACAAATGAATGCAAAACTGTACCGGGCACAAAATTTTTACCTGGTTCAGATGAGCACTGCAGACTAAGTGTCTAAACATTTTTGGGGTGATGCAAATCAGACAACCTATTACCACATTAGTTAGATGCCTAGACCAACTTTTTGATGGTAGTTCTCCACTCTCATTTTTCTAATATTCCCTTATTCTCCCTTCCTCCTCATACTTTTTCTTTTTGTGTTGGTTCTGTACATCGTCTTTTTCTTTCTGTACATCTCTTTCCTCAGGGGGAGCGCAGTGGGAGTGGGGCTGTTACCTTACCTATTCCACTGGGTGGTGAAGGCTGTAGTGGTGAGGGTGGTCAGAGGGATCAGGAGTTGAGAGTCTATCACAGGCGATGCAGGCAGGTTGATCCTAGTCATCGGCAGTCCCGATCAGTTCCTTTTGCGGCTCCAGATCCAGAGCCTACTGAGACACCT